CCGGGGCCGGGAGCCGGAGCCGCAGCGCCCTCCCGCGGGGAGCGACGTCCCGAGACCTCCTTGTCCGAGGGGCCGGGCCGGGTACCCCTGCCCCGCGGTCCCCAGGCTCGTCCCCTCGTCCCGTCCCGGGAGCGGGTCACGGCTCCGAGAGGGCCGCGCAGGCGGTGGTGCGGGGCGGTGGGCAACAGTGGGGGGCGCGTCCCCGGAGACGCACAGAGGGCGGCGGAAGCCCGGGCCTGGCCTTTCTCGAGCTGGGAGGACCCCCGTGGAGGGAGCTGCTGCGCGCCACCGCCGCTGGCTCGGGGGCTCCTGCCTCTCCGTGACCCGGTGCACCTGCTCTCAGGCCTCAGGTCCCCACGGAGCTCGTGACCTCATCTGGGCAGTCGTGACCTCTGCTGGCCTGGCGTCCCGGGAGCCTAGGATGCGGGGAACTGGTCTGCGGTTGTCCCCACCCAGTGCCCTGTCCCCAGGCCTGCGATGTTTGCCTCTCTGAGGACAGGATCTGGGGACTTGAGAGCGGACCAAGGACTGGAGACAGGAGGGGCCCTCCCGGGGCACAGGCAGGGCGCGAAAGCAGGAAGGAGCTTGAGGCTGCCAGCCAGGAGGGTCGTCCGCAGGGCAGATAGTGCCAGGTTCTGCATCCCCACACCACCTGGCCCTGCTCCCAGCCAGGGGAGGGCGGCCCACGGAGCATCGTTTTCCTGCAGGCTCCGCAACGGAACTGCTTGTCTGTTCCTTCTGAATCGTCCCGGAGGAAGCAGCCTTCCACACCCACCGAAGGGCACAGAACATACTCAGAAGTGAGAGGAACAGAACAAAGAACGGAGCAAAAACAAAGCCCTAAAAATGCATCCACGGTGCACCTTGACCACGTTGCAGTCAGTTGTTAATGTCTTGTTCTGTGTTCTGAGGCTGTGGGCGAGGGCCGGCGTTGTCAGTCTTGGGGGAGTCTGTGGAATCTGGAGAGGAGGCCCTCAGGTGCCCCCCTGGGGGTGTGGTGGGGCTCCAGGAAAGGGGGGATGTCAGAAGCAGAGACTGGGCAGGCGGGCTACCAGGGAGTGGACAGCTCCCTGCAGTCACTCCTCCTGTCCTGCCCTGTCCCAAGCCTGAGCCCCTCTGCAGTCAGCCTCTGCCCCGACAGTGCAGCCTGGGAGGAAGCAGGTGCCCCTGCCTTCCACTCCCCTGGTCCAGACCTGAGAGGAGACATAGACACCGTGTGCTCTGGTCCCTTCTTGTGTGGTTGCTCCCTAGGGCGCCCAGTTCTGATCCCCTCCCAGGCTCCCCGAACCTGTCCCCAGGCTTTGGCTCAAGCCCCTACTCTCTCTCTGGTTGCCAGCATCCCAAGGGAGCCGTGGATGCAGGAGGTTTGGGAGAGGGAGGCAGTCACTTGCCGTCCCCCGTGACAACAGGCGCAGCAGGGGAGTCACAGTTACTCACGCAGAATGCCTGGCTTCCTGCCCGCCTCAGCCCTGCGTGAGTGCCGCCCGCGCTGCTCCAGCCCTCCGACACCTCTCAGAGTCGTGCTGTCACTGCCTCCTGAGGCACAGCTGCTGGAGCTCACGAGGAGCTCAGCGAGGCTCCAAGGTTCCTGGAAAGGGCAGAGAGGGCTCGACCTGTATGATGGGGGCTGGGCCAGGGCCGGGGGAGTCACCGCCCCAGGGTGCCACCCACACTGCCGCCTGGATGCTGACCCCTACTCCAAGCTGTTCTTCTTCCTGTGCAGAGGGCATCTTTACTCCAAGCAATAACAGCACGAATGTTGTTCATGCCTCGGGTGTCTCTACCTGCCTTTACCCAACCCAGGATGAGTCTGTGATGTAGGCATGTCCCTTTCGGGAGAGCCCAGCATGGCTTGGGTAGGAACAGGGGACCTTTTGATGGCACTGTACCTGTGCTTGAGAAGAAAACAAAATCATGGAGTGCAGGCAGTGGAGGAAGAACTGTGCCCATGGACAGGTGTGGAAATGAAGCCCCAGGACCAGCCCTGGATGGGCTGTGAGAGGACCAGCGCTGGATTGGGCATGTGCCTTGGACAGGGCCAAGGGCAAGTGCATTGGTTCAGGTCGGCCAGTGAGCAGACTCTGAGATGGGGGGTGCTGCAGAAGACAAAGAGGAGAGGGCAGGAAGGGGCAGGGACATCCTCAGGCCGTAGGGCAGATCTAGACAGCGGCAGAGACCTCAGTTGTACCCTTAGGGATAGAGATGGATGACCATAGAACTCTGTTCCTCAAGATCTCAGGGCTTAGTGTGATTTGGGGGTCACCAGGCAGCCCAGCAGGGGATCGTGGTGCAGGGACTCTGGGAAACTTGAAGGAGGGCTGCCCCTCCTGTGTCCTCTCTGATGGCCTCAGCACAAGGTGCATGCGTGTGTTTGTGTGTGCATGCGTGTGTTTGTGTGTGAATGTGTGTGTTTGTGTGTGCATGCCTGTCTGTGTCTGTGTACAAGAGCGTGTGCCTCTGTCCTGGTGTAGGGGATGTGTCTGCTCCCAGCTGGGGGGTAGCGCAGGACTTGGTCACAGTGATGGCTTTGATCTGAAATGTCCCCCAAGCTGGGTATGGTAGCACACAGCACTTGGGAGGCTGGGGCAGGAGGATCACTATGAGTTTGAGGCCAGCCTGGACTACATAGAGAGACCCTGTCTCAAAGAAAAGGTCCTAGTGCTACAGGCTTGTTTGGAAGCCTGGTGGCCCCCCCCCAGGAGGTGGGGCAATCCTGAGGGGGTGGGTGTGGTTGGAGGAAGTAGGTCCCTGGGGGCGGGACTTTGAAGGTTACCTTTGTCCCACCTCCTCTGAGGAGTGGGCAGCTTTGTCTGCCAGCCCTTCCTTGCCGGCCCAGAGACAATGGAGCCAGCCGACCATGGACTGCAATTCCTGAAACCATGAGCCTAGATAAATATTTTTTTCCTTTATGCTAAGTTTCTCAGGTGGTTTGTGACAATGGGTGGCTGGAAGAGGTGGAATTGGAGCAGAGTTCTCAGAGCTTGGGGGAGGGAGGATGGCCCCAGAGGTGTGTCCAGGACCATAAGGGAGCAATAGTGCCCATGGGACATTTTGTACCCAGGAGGGCTCAGACTGAGTTCTCACACTCTGCCCTTCTCCCAGCCCTGCAGCCCTGTGAACTGAGATGGAGCCGGTCCCAGGCGGGGTTCAGCAAAAGGGAGATCTCGAAAGCAGGGCGAAAGAGACATGGGTCTAAGTAACATGATTTATGCCATCAGAGATTAGTGTCTTAACTGGCTGGTACTGGCTGGAAAAAAGACTAGGCATCCCTCTGTGACTCTCAAACAACCAAAAGAAGGGAAAAGTACAGCCACAAAGACCCTGCCAATCCAACGGATTTTACAGATGGGAGGATGGAGGGGCGGTGCACGGGAGTGTGACATCAGTAACTAACTCTTCAAGGAGTGAAAATTGAAACCATACATTATTTAGCTACAAATAATAATGAATATTAAAATCTGAACAATATGGACATTACATGATTAGAGAAAAAAATTGCAGCCTTCGTCGGATATATTGCAAACAAGAGAAACTGAAAATTAGTGAAATAAGTTTACAACTAAAAACAGTGGGAAAGAAACAACAAATTAGATCTGAAGAAAGGAAGGAATTAGTGAAGGTAAAAGTAGAAAGTAATGAAATAAAAATAAAATGTTGAATGAATGACCGAAACTTTCCCCTTCAATAGACCTGCTTTACTTTTCCTGTTGTTGAGTCAAAATACCCAATACCCATAAGTTAAGGAAGGAGAGGTTTTTTTCAGCTCAGTTTGTAGAGTTTTCATCCCATAACTGGCTAGGTCCAAGGCAGGGTGGCAGGCAGAGGGGCAACCGTGCATGGTGTTGGAAGACAGCAAAAGTTACAGAGGACTTTCTGCCCCTTTTATATTCTATCTAGGCTACTGGAATTAGGACGCCGCCCAGCCTAATCAGTGGACTGATTTAGCAATCACCCACCCTTAATTCTAGCACCCTTAATCCTAGCACTGCACCATGAATCACACACACTCTCGATCCAGCCACCTCTGAAAAAGCCTCATCTATGACTGTGTGAGGCTTTAGGGGGGCATCTAAATAAGAGACATAACACGATTCATAAATAGATTAAAATTTAGCAAGCCAGATCAAGAACAAAAGTGGAAACACAGACAAGGGACATAGTTCCTGGAATAGAGAATATTTTAAAACTACAAGAGAATGCTATCTTGTGGCAATATTATTCCAACATCTAGGTGAAGTGGGTGCTTTTTCTAGAGAAATATTAAAGTTATCCCTAAAAAAGATACCAGGCTCTGATGTTTTTACAGGAGGATTCCATAAGCCTTGAATGCATAGATAATTCCCATGTGTTGGGAATGTTCCCAGCATGCTTTGTGAGTGGTGTATGCTGATATTAAAACAATGCAAGAATAGGACAAGTAAGGAAAGTGGTAATTTCACTTTGTAATTCAATAGACATTAGTAAATAGAGTTATGAATTTAATACTCAATGTAATGTTTACCATTTAATTCATGTCCATGCATAAACATAAAAGCAAACATCAAGCAATGACAAAGCCAAAGAAGGAAAGTTACCATCTCATGTTGTGAGCTGGGATAAGGGAGGCTAGCAGGGCTGCCTCAGGGAGGAGGGGCAGGTCTGTTGCCAGCTTACCTGCCCCTGGTGGGTGCAGTAGGCCACAGCTGGGTGAGGTGGGCACCCAGGAGTGTGTCTCAGAGGCCAGTGAGGACCCTAGCCAGCGACATGGTGGCTGCCTGCTGTAAGGCAGATGCTCTAGAAGGGGGTGGACCCAGCACCCAGCTTCCATGGGCAGAGAGGTGGAACAGCCCAGACTGGAAATGCCTGGCATGGCCGCTGCCGTGGTCCTTGCAGGACAAGGTGGGAGCATCCACTTGGCCTCTTTCTACCCCAGCAGCAGGACCAAGACTTGGCCTGGGGCTTCTGCAGTGGCCACTGGGTGAGTCCCTAAGCTGGGCCCTGTGGCCAGACTTGTGGCTTGACTGGCAGGGAAAGCAAAAGATCTGAACTCAGTTGGGAGAACTTGGCTCTGTCCCCACCTCTGTCCTCCACCCCAGCCACAGGTGTCACACTGAGTCCTCTGTGTCCCTGTGGCCTGACTGTAGCCCGGGACCAACAGCGAGATGCTTCTTCCGGTGGCCTTTATTGCCCTGACTGTGGCTGGCGTCCCAGCCGTCTCTGTCCCCTCCCCTCTCGGGGAGCAGACACCTTCCCCGCCCGGAGCCAGCACTGTGTGTGTCCTGGGCCCTCTTGAGAGTGCCCCTGATGGCTGCCCTGGGCCGGGAATGTGGTCTGCAAACCTGGATCTCCCTCCCAGCGTTTCCCTCCCTGAGGGGTTCTCAGTCCACAGACTTGATTCAGGCGGCAGAGCTTGTCTTTATCTTCCAGACCTCTCACCTTCGTGACACTGCACCCACACAAGCACAGCTGCACCCCCTCCTGGGTGGTTGCACTGCACGGGGCTTACGGAGCCCCTTTCTTCTGTGCCCGCTTGGTTTCTGGTCCCCGCCTGGTTGTGCTGTTCAGGGAGCTTCCCTGTGACCCTCAGTCCCTCCAAGGTGAGGTGGGGACAGGTGAGGTCTAGGGCTGCTCCAGGGGCAGTCTGGGGGAATGGCCGAGAAGGTCTCCCCTGCTCCTCTCTGGGTCCCAGGCGCCCAGCAGGAAATCTCCAGGGGCCACTTCTGCTTTTCTCCTCCTAGTCCACCCTCCTCTGGGTGAGATAGCATCTGCCCAAGAAAGGACACCTTTCCAGGGAGAAGAGCACCGAGGGGGGCCCTGCCAGCCGCTCTGTGTCCCCACCCCACCTCCTCCAAGCAGGGTTGGGACGGCCTTGGAGGAGGGGGCCCCCCACACCCTCCTTTCCCTCTGGAGGAGATGTGGGGGGCCAGATGGTGTGGACAGAAGGGGATCCAACTGGAGCTGCTGGCAGCGGGCTGCAGAGGTTGGCGGCTGAGAGGGAATCCACACTGGGTGGCCCGGCCAGGGAGAGGCTCGCTACAGATGGAGGGCGGGAGGAGTGGGGAGAAGAGGAAGCAGATGCCTGACCGGAGGAGCGGGCGGTCTCTGCCTCCTGTCTCGGGTCGGCTGCCTCTCGTCCTGCAGTGGGTGGGTGAGTGTCCTCCAATCACTCGGTACCTCTCCTCTGCAGCTGTTGGGGGGAGGGTGGCGCTTGGCCAATGAAATGAGGTCCCAGAGGGTGTGTCCTAATGGGACGTGGGGGGCCAGGATGCTCCTTTTCCTCTCTCTTTGCTTCTATGTACTTCTACCACCATGTTCCAGCTGCAGAGCGCCCAATGGCGGGAGCCAGTGACCATGGACTGAGACCTCCGAACCTGTGAGCCAAATCTTGCCTCTTTGTTTCTTTCATTTATTTAAAACTTCTGGTGCTGGGTGTGGAGCCCAGCATCTCTGGCATGCCAGGCCAGTGCTCTCCTACTGAGCTGCAGCCCAGCCCAACCTTGTCTCTTTCGAAGCAGATGCTCTGCCACGGTGAGGGAAGCCAGCATGCACCACACGCCCACTCAACTCCCACCTGCTCCTTAGCAGCTTCCTCCCAATCCCTGGCTCTTCCCTCTTCAAACCCAGAATTAGAGCTGGGGAACCATCTCGTTCTTTAATCCATCAAAAAAGCTCCAAGCTGGATGTGGTGGCGCATACCTGTGATCCCAGCACTTGGGAGGCTGAGGCAGGAGGATCGATGCAAATTCCAGGCCAATCTGGACTACAAAGTGAGTTCAAGGCCAGCCTGAACTGCATAGTGAAACAATGTCTCAAAAAGACAAAAAAAAAAAAAAAAAAGAAAAAAGTTCCCACTGTAGGACTGTGATGAAATAATACCTGAACTCCGCTGAGCCCATCACTTGGTTTATTTCCTCCACATTGAATCAGATCACAGAGCGGTGAACTCCAGGGCTGTCACATATAATCTGCTCTTTTTTTTGTTTTGTTTTGTTTTTTTTTCTGGTACTGGGAATCGAACTCATGACCTCGCGCTTGCCAGGCAGGTGCTGTGCTGCTGAGCTAAATCCCCAGCCCCACAATCTGCTCTTTACATCTGCAAAATACTAAAATTCCTCACTGGAGTGAATAGCCTTAGGTTAATTCCCTTCCTTGCCTTAGGGTTGGTTTTAAAAAAAGTTTTTAACCAATTGTTTGTTTAAAATGATTCACACCCTAGAATTTACTACTGGAGACCCTTCCCCAGCTGCCTGCCTTCTTTGGAAGAAAGTGGATCACTGCTGGACACCAGTGTCCACAGCCCAGAGCCTAGAGCCCAGAGCCTGCTCATTGCCTTGCCGTGACCCTCCTGCCTCAGCCTCTTGAGTTCTGGGATTACAAGCGTGCCCTACCACGCCTGGCTCTCCCTAGTTGGAAGTGTGCACTGGACCTCTGGGACCTGGTGTCCTGACCCCATTCCTCCTGCCTCCTCCCTCCCCTCTGGCCACCCTGGTCTCCTGAGAACTTATTCCTGACCCCACTTGCTTCTGGGTCTGCACTGCCCCCTCTGCCAGGAAGGGTGTTTCACTAGGACCTGCGCGGCTCCTACCTCTCTCCTGCTTCACTGAATACTGAAAAGCAACTGTGAATGCCGTCCCGGCTCAGCTCCTTCCTAGCACTTCCCACCTCCCAGGCCGGTGCCCTCCTCGAGGGAGGTGGCTCTATTACTCACTGTTATCTCCCTGCTAGAGTGGAAGCCCCTGAGGGCAGGGAGGCAGGAGTACATTCTGTCCTGTGCCGCAGGTGGGGCGGGCACCCCGGAAGTCATCTCTGCAGTAACGGGTGGGAGTCTCGGTCCAGCCTCCCTGAGTCCCCTGGTTTCTAGTGCTGTGCTCTCGCTCAGCTCTGAGGACCCACCCTCCAGTTCCTTCCTTGCCCCCGAGGGGTCCCACAGCATCCCCCTGCCTGCTTCTATGGGCCAAGGTGCCAGGCCGATCCTCGGCTCTCAGGGTCTTTGCTGCAGCACCCATGGGCTGCAGTTGGTGCCAGTCGCCCCACTTGGGGCTTGGGGGCTCTGTGGGGAGGTCAGGCCCAGATGGGCTGGGACCAAGGGCAGCAGCTCGGCCGGCAGTCCTTCCTGTGGTTCTCACTGCCTCGGCCTGACCCATGGTCCTGCAATGATCCCTGCGTTGGCCCGGGGTCCCCGCCCATTACGTGTGACCCCAGCCTGACCCCTGACCCCGATCCCAGCCTTAGTCCCAGGTGACCTCTGCTCCTGGTCGGCTCTGATCACCGAGCCCCGCCCGCCCTGCCTAGCACAGAGGTGACGTGTGGCTGCCGCCGTCGTGGTCCTAGACAGGAGCCTGGCCCTGCCTGGGAGTCTCGGGGTCCGGGCCTCCTTCTCTCCTACCCTTCCTCTGCTCGGCCTCCTCTCTGGCTCCCAGCGGAGTGGCTCTTCCTGTCTGGTCAGGGCCTCCAGGCCAGGTGCCAGGGCGGGGAGGAACCCGCCAACCCAGCCTGGCCTCTGTTTGCACAGGTCTGGGTAAAAATAGCTGCAGCCACGCACGCTTCTCCTGCTTCCTCCTCGGCCTGGCTCCTGCCCTGGCCATCACTCGCCAGCTGTCCCTGCCCCTGGCCTCTTCGGGCCTGGAACAGGACAAGGCCCAGGGACGGGGCGGGGGCCCTCGCAGGGCCTGCAGAGCCATCCCTACCGACACCTAGAGTGTAGGTGTGGAGCCTCCAGTGTGAGCAGATAAACTCCGCTCCTTCTCCCCGAGCCTGTGGCTCCGTGTCACAACCCCAGCACAGGACTACTGCACTGACGCAGGTGGCACCCGGGCAGTGAGCCAGAGCGTCTGGGGCTCAGCATGCTGGGTGGGGCCTCTGCAGTAGCTTGGGCCCCTTGGGGTGCAGAAAGCAAACCCTTCCTTCTTTAGCAGGTGTTCCTCTGGTCCCCATCACACGGTGCCAAGGCTGCATCCTCACCGAGCAGCCTCCACGCCTCCCCCAACCCCTGTGCGCGCTGCTGACCAAGGTCACAGGGGGATGAGCCCCCAGCCAACAAGGAGACAGAGGCCCCCTGCTGCGGCACTGCGCGGACACCCTGCCCACACGCGGGCAAGCTTGGTGGCTCGCTGGCCACCCCTGCCTCCCTTGACTTTTGGGCCAGCCCTCTAGTTGGTCTTTCCTGGTCACGCGGCCTTCTCTCCACGCGTGTGTCTGTCTCCAAATGTTGCCCTTCCGCCAGGACGCCAGTCATCCCGGAGAAGGCCCACCTCAGCAGCCTCTTTTTACCTCTGTCAGGACCCCGTACCTTAGTTGCGTCACTTTCTGAGGCGCTGGAGGCTGGAAAGTCTACCTGTGAAGTTGGGACTCATCCCATAACCGTCATCTGATGTAACAGTCACCCCAGAACTTGCCCTTTGTTGATGAGTTCTCTAGCGGGGCAGCAGCTTGGCGGTGACGGCCGGGTAATGCTAACCGCAGCGTGAGCGGGCAGTTGTCCTCTGAGGGTGTGACAGGGTGGGGCTCTGTTTCCAGGAGATGCACTAAGTGACTGTTGGCCGGAGGCCTTGGTCCTCTCCCTGGGCCCCCACGTGGTGGCCACGGCAGCTGGCCTGGGGACCACGGTAGCCAGTGTGCCTCTTCTGACTGGCCTTGGGAGTGGTGCGTGGTCCTCCTGCCCTGTCCCCTTGATCGCAGAGATGTTTCCATCAGAGCTGGGAGGTGGCTCCCGGGGTGAGTCCTGGGAGGGTTTGGTCCTCATCCATGGCTGGGCTGCCTGGCCTGGACTGCTGCTGTCCAGCCAGTGGGCCTTGCGGGGGACAAGAGCTGCCCCTTCCTGCTCCCCGGGGAGCCTGGAATTTGTGCAGTTGCTTCTTTTCCGATCCCGCTCTTCAAGACTCAGTGCCAGGGCCACACAGGGCTGGAGGAGGAGCGGGAGAGCAGTGTGGCAGCGTCTGCTTCGGGGTGGGCGCTCAGCTCAGCAAACGTGGGAACCTGTCCCCACGGGCCGGAAGTACGGCCGTGCAGGCCCCTGTCCTTCCTCCAGGTGACTGTGGCTTCCGAAGCAGCCCTGTGACGGGCAGAGGGAGGACAGCACACGTGTCCAGGTGGACTCTGAGCACTCATATGGAGCTGTTTGTGAGCTGTGGCTGTCGCCGGAGCTGGGTCCCTAGAGCTGCCCTGTGGAGAAGCAGAGGTCAGTGGGAACTGCCCAGCAAATCTGACACAGAGTTTGCCAGTTTGCCCACCTTGTCCCTGCACAGGGGCCCAGGCTGTGGTCCAGGGCAGGAGCTCCCTACCGTGTGCCTGGGAGCTGGCTTCTAACCCTTCTTGCCGGCCTGGAGTGACAGCCAGCAATGCAGTTGCTTTTCAGGAAAACCTTGGGATTTGGGCCCTGTCATCCGGGGCCTCCAGCTGGGAAGCTGAGGGCTGCCCTGTGGATTCCTGGCCATCCCTGAAGCCCCTGTCCAGGGGGCCACAGGGGGTGCCCAGCCTGCTCCGCCCTTCTGCCTCCCCCTGCCGTGGGATGGGAGGGAGGGTTCTGTCCCTACAGAAGGAGAGGAATGCCCCACTCTGCTGGGAACTTTCTTCTGTTGTGTCACATGCTGGGCATGGGACAGGTTCTCAAGTTAAAGCTATAAATACAACTTTAAGAAAAAGTGGAAAGGGGCCAGGGATATAGCTCAGCAGCATAAGTGCCTGCCTGTGTAAGTGTAAGGCAAGTGTAAGCCCCTGAGTTCAGTTCCCACTCTCTGGGCTACCTGCCCAGCCCTTGCCCCAGAGCTCTGGTTTCTAAGGTTCCTAGGCCATCGTGGGGGGTGGGGCTGGGAGGGGCCTTTCCTGTGTGTGCTGCCCACCCTCTTCCTGGGTCTGTTTCAGGGTAGGGGTGGTGTCTTTCCACAGCTATGAGCCTCCCAAAGCTCAGAGACAATTACTAGGATAATATTTTTATGCATATATGTGTGTTGCACAATACATGTATATATGCACACATGTATTCACACGTGCATGCACATGTATACGCATATGGTGGTACCTTGGTTCACAAATGCTTTTGTTTGTAAATAATTTGGTTCGCAAACAGAAGTGTTTGGTAAAATTATTATTTTTTTTGCAAACTCTACATTGAGTGACAAACATGACTGTGGACATCTTTCCCACACAAACACAAACGTGGCCGTCTCCTCCAAAACTGTAGAACAAAATAAGCTCACGAGCCAAGGTACCACTGTACCTGTGTACATGTATGTATACATGTTTGTATCTTGTGTTGCTAAGGATCAAACCTAGGGCCTCACAAATGCTAGAAAGACACTCTACCCACTGAGCTCCATTCCCTGCCCAGGATAATATTTTAAATGCATAAAAATCCCCACCAATGATGATAAAGACAATTAATTAAAACACAGCTGCCAAAATACTAAAAATGAATCTGGGCCATAGCGATGCACGTGTTTCTCCCTCTCATTTCAGATACAAAGGCCTGGCAGCAGGCTGAGGAGCCGCTGATGGGGGCACCGCGGTCCTTCCTTGTCTGGGTGGCATTTCCTGTGGTTTTGGTTGCCGGCGTCACCCGGTGTCCTGAGGGCACAAGGCCTCTCCTGATTTATCACCAGGCAAGAGCCGCCATGTTGGATACACAGGTGGTCACCTCACTTCCTCTCGTCCTGTAGGCCCAGAATCCTCGCTGAGGTCCCAAGATGGAGGAGGCGAGTGTGGTCGTGTTACACTGGGGTATAACGTGTGTGTGTGTGTGTGTGTCTGACAGAGACAGAGAGACCACATAACTTTTATTACAGTGGATTGCTATAATTATTCTATTTTATTAGTTATTTTTGATCTTACTGTGCTCAATTTATAAATTAAACTTTATCATAGGTATACCAAAAAAAACAGCATACAAGTTGTGATTAAAAAACTGCTCTCAAGGGCCATCCCTGAACCTCAGTAATGGGGTGTGACAAGTTTCAGTCTGTTTGGTGCAGTCAGCGGGTCTCGAGCTACAGGTGAGAGGAGGTGTGTTTTAGAGTGTGCCGTAAAGCACTGGTCACAAACGCGTGACCAGCGTGAAATTTTGTCGATGGTATTGGAGTTGCGGATCCTGTGCTTCAGACTCCTGCTTTTACGATGTAGCAGGTAGGAGATGAAGTTTAGGCCCCTGAATGTGATCCTGAGACTGAGGCTCAGACTTCCCGGTGGAAATCACCCAGCTCTCCTTGTGCAAAAGGGCATCGGTCCAGACCCAGCAGCACGACGATGGTGCTTTTGACCCTGATGGAGCTGCACGAGTCGAGTTTGCACCCTGAGTGCAGCGGTGGGTGCCGGGAGCTCTGAGGGCCTTTGAGAGCATCTGAGAAACGACGTGGGCAGGAAGCAGCTGAACGCTGAGCCAGCGCTTTCCCCCTCCATCAAGACTCTGCTCTGGGTCACACATCGACTCTGGTACAGCAGTTCCCGTCCAATAAAAACATGGCTCCGTGTCCCATGAGCCTTAGTGACCAGCTCTGGCACTGTGCGACTTCTGCCGCTTCCCCAGAGTCAACATGACTGTGGAAGGTCAACGTTTTGCATCAGTTTGGGGTACAGAAGCAGCCAGGACAGTGCAACTAGAGACACTCAGGAAAGAAGACTGCAGAGCTGCTGCAGAAAGTGGCAAGGCGATGGGATGAGTTCAAAGAGGGGGAGATTCTGAGGGGATCCATGGCCATGTGCCTTCTACTGCAATAAATTTTAAAAAGTAAATGTTAGCCATAGTTTTCAACCACACCTCCTTCGTAGTAGGGTCCAGTCCTAACCAGTTTCAGGCGCCTGCTAGGCACAAGATATGCCCTGGCTGGCAAGCAGGACCCCTGGTGTACTGAGAGGAAATGGCACCTTGGGGCGTGTTCACCAATGGCAATGAGATATGAAACTTTCAAGGATTCCTGTTGCTGACAGCGGATATTGCTGTGCTTCATGGTCTACTTTCACAGTGGGAGAAAATGCTAAATTCAGTTTAAATGGAAGAAAGTAGCCATTTCCCTACTTAAATATATGAACTCCCCCACCCCTTTTTCATTATGGCACTGGGAATGGAACCCAGGGCCTTTACACTGAGCCACATTCCCATCGCTTTAAAAAATTTTGAGACAGGGTCTTACTAAGTTGCTCAGTGGCCCAGCTTGGGCACTTGTGATCCTCCTGCCTCAGCCTCCCCAAGTGCTGAGATTACAGGCATGCACCACCATCATGTATTTTTTGAAGGCTAGGAGACCCAAGGCTAAGATCCTCCTGTCTAGGGGAGGCTTAATGGAGACCAGTTGCCTTCTCAAGTCTCGTAGCCCCAGTGGGAGATTCTCTCCCAGCCTGGGCTGGTTGAGGTTGTGCTGGCCAGGTTGGAAGACCTGCAGCAAGATCGGTAGGGGCAGGGTTCTGTCTCCAGACCCTGGGGACTCCAGCCTCAGGATGCAACCACCAGGCTCCAAGGTGAGGGTATGGGGCTGCAGGTTAGGCAGCTCTCTGTTACTGTGACAAACAGCATGAGGAAGGAAAGGCTTGCTCTGGGCTGTGGCTTCAGGGATTCCCCCATGGCGGTAGACTCACTTCTGGCCTGGCGAGGTAGACTCTTCGGGGCATTGTGTGTGGCAGAACAAGTGGAGGAGGGGGAGAGCGCCTCTTAGCTGAGTGCTCCCTGGGGTCCGGTCCACACTCTTTTCCTGGATCGTTTCACCTCCCAGCCACTTGGGCCTGAGTCCCAGACCTCTTCCTGCTGTCCAGGCTTCCTCCGTGGTCCTGGCGTTGTCCTTGGAGGCGTCTGGGTTTCCCTCCTCCCATCAGAGCCCTCTGGAAACAGACCTGAGGTGCCTCACCTGCGAAGTGGTCCTGGAGAGCCCGAGCAGGGGTGGGGACGGAGAAGGGACAGCACTGTAGGTCATGGAGCTTGCGTGGGGTGCACAGGGCACTGGGCAGCACACAGCTTGGTGTCTTATCTGCTGTAGACAGTGGGCAGGGGGAGCTGTCCATCTCTCCCATCTACTGCAAGTTCAAGGCTGAACCAGGGAAGAAACTGCCTAGGAAGTCTGGCCCACTGCATGCACCGTCCCTGCCTGTCCGGTGGCCAGGACACAATTTCCTGTCCCGTGGCCGGAAATGCAGGTGGGTTTTGCTGGGTGCGGTGAGTGCAATGGGATATGCAGGGCACTGTCCCCTCCGCCCCCTTCCCCTGGCGAAGGATCCAGGTGCACAGGCACCGGGGACAGGGACGAGACATCTGCCCATCAGTTTGCAATATCCTGGGCCCAGTCTTCGGCCAGGGCTGCGGCCCCACCCAGGCTGTGTCCGGGTCCCTGAACAGGTCTGTAGCTTGGGTAGGGAGAGTGCAAAGGTGACTAAG